TAGGCTGTATTTCACCACCTTCACACTGATTGCCCAAATCGCCCTAAATAGTAAAAATAGTCAATAGACCAAAATATGTTCCATGCCGCAAATAGCAATGCCTTAAATTATAATTTATTTATTTATAGATTGAACACTAGCCCTCCGTGCTAGTAGAACACTAGAGCTATAATTATAGTACTAATGTCTTTAAGACATATTCGGGTACAAGACTTGAACGATCGTGGAACCACAGAATAGATTAAATTTGAAGCTTAATCTATTCTGTGGTAGAACAATAATAAACATTAACGAAACAGAACGGACAACGAAGTGGCGAACATTGCTAAGGCCAACGGCCAACCGCAGAATAGAATACGGCCAATACGGGTACCGTACAGTAGGGGTACTCGACACGAGTGTACAATAATTATTTATTATTATTTGACAATTTGACACGATCATTATTTTTACTCYAAGACCAGTTTTGTGGAGTAACCGTAATGGAACATGGCACTATATATAATACTCTATCACAAATTCACAACATCTCAGCAAGTGGTTTTTTTTTGTTATTTTTAAATCGGGCGCCTTATTGATTTGATTAATTTTAGATAGGTACACAATACAATCACTATAAAGTATAAAGTATTTGACATCAACGCCGTCCGTTAATTCTTGAGGCTTGAATTGCTGAAATCTTAAATTATATAGTTAAAATAATGTTGAGTGATGCACTGATAGTTGAATGTTGTTACGTATTTGACATTAGTGTGCAAYTTCCGTTTGTCAGTAAACGTCTCTGCGACCATTTTTATCGGTGTTAATTACTCGTAGGTCGTGTGCAGTACTAGCAGACAAGTAAGTGTATTATGTGATAATAATTTATTAAGTACTTTAATGTATAATATATTATATTATATATAATTCCCTTTAAATTTCTTAAAGAATATCGTTATATCCTCTATCCAGTCCGCCGATCCGTTTTTGTTCGGTCACTTAATCTCGACGGGTGAATTCAAACAGGATCATGTCAGCTTTGGATTCAACCTCAGTTTCCAAATAGGTGAGTCGTTATTATTTATCTAATATAATAAGTATTCTTTAATTTAGTTAACTTAAACAATAGTATTATAATATTCAAAAATATAAGACATGATGTGTTGCCTTTTTGTTATACTCGCACATACTACACCAAAATTATGAAATATTATGAAACTTGATGTTAAKAACATTATGTGTTTGTATGTGGACTTTTTTACTATACCTAGTTCAAGTTTGTAGTAAGTTATGACTTTATGAGTATATAAAAAAGTGTAAGTTAAAAATGCTCATAACTCACTTCGAAACTAAGTTATCGTAAAAAACCCCACATACAAACACAGATAATGTTCTTACCATCGAGTTTCATAACAGGTCGATTTACTCTAATTTTTAAACTAACGGAGTTAAACGTGATCTGCTAATTGTAAATTATGTTACGCACTTGTAAACTGGAAACAACAAAATATGTATGTGTAAGTCCACTTAACCTCTGCCTTGTGTTACCTATGTAACAAATAAAAACCTCCATCTATAATCTGTTTTCATCGACAGAATGACTAAATATTTTATAATTATTGTGTTACAGGCCCTCCCAATAAATAATAATCATTGATAATAATTATCCATAAAAAACTTTTTTTGTTAGGGATCGTCTTATTTATAATTTAATCTAATATACCTACATTTAAAATTATTTTTGGTGAGTTGAAAACGAGATTTATCATATTTGAATCTAGTGACAATGTAAACTCAGAATTTTAAATAATGGTTGAATAAAGCAAAAAAGTATACTAGTAGTTCAATTTAAAATTTTTTCAATTTATCTGTTATATTTATATGACACTTTCTTTTTTATGGGAATGATCAATTTGATTTATAAATAACTCTTTTAATAATTTAGATATTAAAAAATGGGGCGGTACCTAGTAAACTCTCCCGATTTCTAAAAATAGTAAACTCTCCCGGGTTAAAATTATGTTTACCTAAAGTAAATGTGTAAACTCTCCTGGGTTAACTATATAGTGATTATAATGTTAAAACATTTTTTTTAGAAAAAAAAATAGATTCCCTAACATTTTTAAAATCTGTATGTTCTTAATATCAAAAACAATAATTTTAACATTTTTACGTATATTTTCTATTTGTAACTTAACTAACTTATATCATTATTATTATTATTATTAACTATTTTTAAAAGAAACTAAAATGTATATTAGATTTTTTGAAATTTTATTTTTCATTGTATTTTGATAAAAATATTATAGCTCATAGCAGCTAAAGACATTAATTTATATTTTTATTATTATTATTGTTATTATATATGATTGACTATTTTTAAACGCAACTTAAATGTATATTACATTTATTTTATGATTTTTACTGACCTGGGAGAGTTTACATGTTTCCATCAGGTAGTACAGGAATAGACCCGGGAGAGTTTACACGTTTCCGTCAGGTAGTACTGGAGTAGACCAGGGAGAGTTTAAAAGCCCAAAAAATGCCCATTAAAATTTGATGATTGTACCTAGATACAGTGGCGTCCAGATAGGTTAGCAAGGAATGCAACTGCATGTGTTCTCGAGGGGGGTTGGGAGTGTACTACTACAGGTTTCACATGGGAATTAAAAAATTTATAACATAAACTTTAGTCTATACTAATTGATTTCTTTGAATTACAGTGAATAATAAGTGAAAATATTTGTTATAAATAAAAAATTGGATGGGTTGGTGGCTAACCTTTTTTAACTGCATGTGCTCTTAAAATACCTCTATGCGCCACTGCCTAGGTATAATAATATATTCATTCTTAAAAAATGTATATCAGTTGTATAAATTCTATAAATTATTATTGTTAATATTTATGTGTACATACTTTTACAGGATTCAGATGTAAATCCTAGACCAACTTAAAATTCAACAAATTATGAACAACAACATAGTCCAAGGTCAAAATGACCAGCATAAAATCATAAGAACAAGTCCATTAGTAGCTGAAGTAACTATTATTCAATCTGATTTAACACCATCCAAAAACCAAAAGGAAAAAGCACAGCCAAGTACTTTTAATATTAAAGAACAATGGAGAAAAAAACAAAAATCACCTAATAGGTCAGAACAGTGGGGAAAAAACCTTAATTTAGAAAATAAACAAGAGAGTTGGAGAGGCAAAAAATTTGAGCCACATGAATATTTTAATTACGGCAAAACTGAAAAAAAAAATATACACATTGAAAATAGTCAAGAACATTTAAATTTCAAACAAAACACTGAAAAAAGACAAAATATAAGGGAAGAAAATAAATATAAGCTAAATGAATGTTCTGATAATGGAACAAACGATAAAAAAAGTATAAATAAGTTTAATTTTGGATTTATACGCCTTGTAGAATTATGTAGTAAAGATCCATCTGAAATTGTATTTGTGCTGTCAAATAAAGTTAATGGATTCATGGACTTATTCAAACAAAATAAAGAACCAGATTGGATTTTTTTGCTTATGAAAGTATCAGCTAAGATTTGTTCTACTGAATTAATACAAAATAAACATTTTTTACTAACAGAAATTATGGGCAATCAATTTTTTGATCATTTAAAAGCATATATATTTAGCACACCAACTGAAAAAAATATTAAACGATGCAACAATATGAGTTCATTTTATGAATACTGTTTTGTTGTTTTTCAATCTATCACTACATTATTTCCGAAACAAGCAGAAGAAATATTAAATGAGTTAATAATAATTAGTAATATTTCCATAAATGTTATTAATAGCTATTGTAAACATATTGAAATTGACAAAGCTACTATGATTGGAATTAATGATCTGCTAAAAAATCTCATCAAAACTAAGTTACCTGAGGACTTAAAATTGAAAGAAACAAGCAAACATGTTGCACAATCCATGCTTCAACCTGAAAATATCAGAGAACTAACTGTGTATCCAACTGCAATGGATTTTGAATATGGAGATCCATTTTTACGACCTAATATCTCTAAAGGAACTTTTCAGAATGTAGAACATTATTTAGATATTCAATTTCGTTTATTACGTGAAGATTTTATTGCACCACTACGAGAAGATATACAATATTATAAAGACACAATAAATAATCAATGTCAAAAAAAAATGCACAATATTCGAATTTATAGCGATGTTGAATTTGAAAAAAAATGTGAATTTGGTCGTGATGAATATGGTTATCTGGTAAACTTTGACAAAAAAAATAAATTAAAAGTGAACTGGGAAATTACAAAACGATTTATGCATGGTTCTTTATTACTATTTTCTGGAAATAATTTTAAACATTTTTTTTTGGGTACTGTGAAAGAGCGAAATATTGAACTTTTGACAGAAGGTAAGTTAATTGTGCAATTATTAGAAGATGCAAAACCTATATTTAATAAATCAGTCACTATGGTAGAAAGTAAACTATTTTTTGAACCATATAAATGTTCTTTGGAAGTTCTTAAAAATATCAATACTCATAAATTCCCTATGGAAAAGTATATAATATCAGCTTGTAGTATGATAGACTATCCATATTATATTGATGAGTTACCTGAAAACACCTACTATGCAATTGATGATTTTGTTGAATTCCATGTACTGAGTCAAAATGATTGGCCTACTAAAGAACAGCTAGGACTTGATGAAATGCAATTTGGAGCATTTAGAGCAGCATTGACACAAGAATTTACAGTTATTCAAGGGCCACCTGGTACAGGAAAAACATTCATTGGTTTGAAAATTATGAAAACAATTATAAGTAATTTATATGAGAAGCCATTTCTCACAAAACCTATTTTAGTAATATGTTACACAAATCATGCTCTTGACCAATTTATGGAAGGCATATTGAGTTTTACAGACAAAGTTGTCAGAATTGGTGGTCAATCTAAATCAAAAATATTAGAAAAATACAGTTTAAGGAATATATCTAATACTCATAGAAGGACCCAAACTACTTATACATGTCTAAGAAATATTAAAAATCAAGTAAAAAGTATTATGAATAATATTATATATTTTAAGAAATGTAGTGAAGTGATATCTGATAATGCTGGAATATTAGAGTTATCTTTATTGAAAATATGTATGCCTGATCGATACCATTGGTGTTTTAAAACCACATTAGATCTTCTTTCTTGGTTGTTTCAAGATTTTGATTACTTTAGTGTAGACCCAGTTGGCTTTATAACTGGAATTAGCAATGAGTTAATTAATAAAGTTTTTCATTCAAAAAAATTGTTTGAAATTAAAAAAGAAGACAATAATGAGACAATACAATATGAACTTGATGACTTAGATCTAGAACACAATCATAAAGATATTGATATTTATAGTATAACATTAGATAACATAAAAAAAGCTTGCAAAGAACTACTAGAAGAGACTATAAGATTAGAGAATCAATCAAACAAAAGTGTACATTCTTTTAATGATATTGAAGAGGCCAAATTCAATTTTAGTGTGATGGAAAATATACATGATTATTTAGATAATATGTTGAATATAGCTGGTGATGATAAAATACTACCACAAACAATTAAAAATTTAAATTCACTAAATATGAGACAAAGATGGTCTTTATATTTCCATTGGGTAAAAGAAACAAAAGACATGTTCAATCAAAAAATAATATATTCTGAGCAAAAATATACACAACTCTATAATCATTATGCTGAATTAAGAGAGTTGGCAAACGTAGAGCTTTTAAGCAAGATGCATGTAGTAGCATTAACAACTACAGGGGCAGCTAAATACAGAATAATGCTTGAAGGGTTAGAGTCACCAATTGGTATGAATTAAGGTTTTAAATTACTCTTATTAAATAAATGTAATAGTTAACTTAAATTTTTAGTTGTTGTTGAAGAAGCTGCTGAAGTTTTGGAAGCACACATTGTTTCATCTTTAACAAGTCATTGTCAACATCTAATATTAATTGGTAGATAATTATAATTTACTATATACAAAAATATTAAACGTTGATTTTTTGTTTCATTTCAAAGGTGACCACAAGCAACTACGTCCTAGTAATGCAGTTTATAAATTGGCAAAAGATTTTAATTTTGATATTTCGTTGTTTGAACGTATGGTCAATAATGATGTACCTTGTTACACGTTAAGTGAACAACATAGAATGCGCCCTGAAATATCATCTCTTATTGCTCCATCAATATACACTGAATTGAAGGACCATATTTCTGTTTACAATAGAGAACATATTCGTGGTGTTACTAAAGATGTATATTTCTTGAATCATAATATGTATGAAAACGAAGTATGTTGTATCCTTGGCTATTTTATTTCAAGATGTATTTCAGTTACTACAATTTGTTGACCATTTAGGTTGAGGAAAGTTCAAGCAAAAGCAATGAACATGAAGCTAGATTTTTAATTATGTTTGCCAAACATTTAATATTACAAGGATATAAAACTGATCAAGTTACAATTTTAACAACATACAGTGGTCAACTATCTTTAATTTGTTCGGTAAGCTTATTCATTTTAGAATTCTTTTGTTTTGTGTGCAATATAATTAATATAATATGATACAATACAACAGGTAACTGTTTTGATTCAAACTATTATTAATTTAATTTAGTTGATATTTATTTGAAATAATTAAATATTGTACCAATGACTAATTTATTGTATAATCAATTTTAAGTTGAGAAAAAAACATTCAATATTAGAAGGAATGAAGATCACAGTGGTAGATAATTATCAAGGTGAAGAAAGCGATATAATATTGCTATCACTGGTCAGAAGTAATGAAAAGGGAAATGTAGGATTTTTGAAAACTGAAAACAGGATATGTGTTGCATTGTCAAGAGCTAAGAATGGACTTTATATAATGGGTAATATGGACAATCTGTGTAATTCTGGAAATTTATGGAAACAAATAAAAGAAACATTAATAAATCAGGGTTCATATGGTAAAAATATATTTTTTTTATTTGTATTATATAGATAAAATTTTGAACTTACCACTTGGTTTGTTTCTAGGTGATGAATTGACTTTGGAATGTGTCATTCATTCTGGCGTTACAACAAATGTTGCGAAAAGTGAAGATTTCAATACAATTCTAGAGGGTGGTTGTCCCATGATGTGTAACTCATTGCTATTGTGTGGTCATTATTGTACAAGTATATGTCATTCGTATGACCTCGAGCATTTAGATTTTAAATGCATGAAGCCATGTGACAAGTATATTATTTTKATTTATTATTTTCTTTAAGAGATATTTTTATTATACTTTGTAACAATGTAAAATTGGTTTTGTGATTATTAAAACAGTATTATTTATCAAAACCTATTTTCTGTAGATCCTGCATTTATAATCATCCATGTGAAAAAATATGTTTTATGGATTGCGGAAAGTGTRCTGTGTCAATGATCAGAGAATTACCATGTGGTCACCAAATGACATTACAATGTTATGTAGATGTTCTTACTTTTCCATGTGAAGAAATGGTTGGATTTATTACTGTTGTTTTTCAAAGTGTGTTATTTTAATTACATTTTTGTTCTAATTTATATGTATATTTAGGTAGAAACAGTACTAGAAAAATGTGGTCATAGAATTTTAAAAAAATGTCATGACCAAAAACCTAGTTGTTCATATAAATGTATGGATCGATTAGATTGTGGTCATGCTTGTGAAAAAAATTGTCACAAGAATGATGATCCTGATCATGAAGAGGTAGTTTTTATTTTTAAAAAGTGAAGTTTATTAAAAAATATGTATTGAAATAATTTAATAATTTAATACATTTTACCACAGTATAAATGCTTAAAACCTTGTGAAATTATTCACAAAAAGTGCTCTTCAAATCACAAATGCCAAAAGATGTGTTATGAAGATTGTTCATTATATTGTGATTTCAAAGTTCAGATAAATCTGCCTTGTGGGMACATCATGAATGATAGTCCTTGTGGATTAAATATTGATGAGATTAAATGTATTCTCCCATGTGATCGTCAATTAAAATGCAACCATAAGTGTCAATCTAAATGCTATGAAAAATGTAGACCTTGTGAGAATCAAGTAAGTAACTACTTTTTTGTGTCAATCTGGTTCATTTAATTTATTTTAATTTTAGGTATTAAAAGTTATTCCTGACTGTGGCCATTCAATTACAATGAAATGTACAACTAAACCAGAACATAAACATTGCACAAAGAAATGCGAACGAATTTTAGAATGTGGGCATTTGTGTAAAAAGTTATGTGCAGATGAGTGTACAAATACAGACTGTGAAGAAATAGTATTGCAAAAGAATAGCTTACTCGCTTGTGGTCATAATAAAATTTGGGTTTTATGTWGTGACAAGAATAAAGGTAATATTTGTTATCATTGTATTTTTCTTAGATTGGTTATCAAAACATGTTTTATGATTTTTTCCTAGTACTTTTTTGTACTTAACAGTTAAAATACATAATATAATTCTATAACTCTATTACCAATATGTTTATATCATATGTTATGTCATGGGCCATTTGGCAAATTAGTCTTTTTGCGAAAAGACTAGGCTCTTTGCAATGTAGTAGCCCGTTTGCAAACTACTTATTATTTTTCCAAACGGCCTGCAGTTTTTCTGGACTATTCCATAGGCACTAAAAGCAATAATTAGGTGTTTTACTACAATCTTTATAATATAATAATAACCATTTTACTCATTATACTTGTGAAGTTTAATTTATTGAACTTAGAATCTTGACTCAATCTATAACTTCCATCGATATCTGATGCTGTTTCTAAAATAGGGGTACYTATTATTGATTATGGAAAAATAATTTATAAATAATTACTATCAATATTTATGTTTATTTATTTATTAATTATAATATATTCATATTAGGTAATTAATTTAAAAAAATCATGATGCATAGTTGAATTTAATTTTTTGGTTTTTTATATTTAGTATATTCTGTAAATTAGTTATTTAAATTAAAAGTTAAATTAATACTTATTATAGAGTTCAGAATGGACAGTCAATATCTTCTTGATAAATGTCGTGAACCATGTTTACAAAAATTAAATTGCAATGATATTTGTTTGGGAACATGTGGAGAATGTAAACAAGGACGTATACATATACCTTGCAGTAACATTTGCAGCAAGATAAATCCATGCAATCATATGTAAGCATATACAATTTTTTTTAAACCTATTTTTTTGTAATCGTAACCTAATATGATATTTTATTTTAACAGATGTAAATTCCCCTGTAAAGAACAATGTCCACCTTGTAATCAAAAATGCATCTATTCTTGCATGCATTCTAGATGTACTCTTCTTTGTGGTAATCCATGTATACCTTGTAAGGTAATAATTACTAATTAATAACTAATGAAAATAAATGTATATGCATTTGTGTTATATTTTTAACTCTTTTTTTTATTGTTTTTGATTTTAGTAATGTTTGAATTTAAGTCACATATCCCATTATTTATGTATTTGAATCTTTTATTTATGATTTATACTATTTATGTTGTGATTTTATTAATAGGAAGAATGTGAGTGGAAGTGTCCACATTTGACATGTACCAGAAAATGTTATGAATTATGTGATCGTCAACCTTGTTATGAACATTGCACTATAAAATTGAAATGTGGGCATGAGTGTATAGGTTTTTGCGGTGAACCTTGTCCTCCGCTATGTCGTATTTGTCAAGAATATGAAGTTACTACAATATATTTTGGGAATGAAAATGATCCGAATGCAAGGTAAACTTTTTTGTAAGGAATACTTGAGACATTTGTATTTTTATTTTGTTACAAATCTCAGTWGCTAATAGTTAGATTGTTAATATTCATTAATTAACTCCTATAAATTTKTAGAAGCTAATGTAATCCAATTCAGCATAACATTTTAAGATTATATTGTATTCATAATACAATAAATATAGATATTTCATTGAACTATTAATTTTCTAYGTGTATCAATAATTGTAATTTTTTTGTACATTTTTTAATGTTGATGTGATAATTTTTAGGTTTATTTATTTAGAAGATTGTGCTCACATAATAGAATCTGATGCTTTAACAAAATGGATGAACCATTATGATGAAAAAATATGTTTGAAACTATGTCCAATATGTAAGACACCCATTTTAAGAACCCAACGTTTCATGAATCTTGTGAAACTTATTTTAGAAGACATATCAAAAATAAAAATAAAACAATATGAAGAACTATCTATTATTCGCAGCAATACAAAAACCATAATAAATTCTTTGAAATCCTTGAATAATATTTTTGTTTTAAACTATATTTGTGATACAATTCATAGGTATGACAGAGTCAAACATTTATGGCATCTGTTTTGCAAGCCTTTATTAGGTTCTTATGGTAGTCAATATTCAAAATTCACTTTACCTGCCAAGGGCATGGAATCATTAAATTTTGTCATTTATTTGTTAGAAACTATTGAAAAGTTCTATGATAGAATTGAAGAAATCAAAGATAGTCAACGAAAACAAACTATTATTAATCACTTCGATTGGATTCTTTCTGTAGCTTTCACTTATGCACAACAGTTGTCAAATCAGCAAAAATTTGATATCAGCATGGAGTTGGCACGAGGTGCAAGGATTATGAGCTTATTTGATATCATGACCAGTACAAAATTTCAAATTGCTGTTACAACTCAAATTTCTGACATAAATGATGTTAAAGAAAATGTATATGATATGGAGAATTTATTAATGTCATGTAACATGTACTCATTAAGCAAGGATCAACATATACAACATCTAACAGAAAAAATCCAGCAAAAAATTGATGATGTTCCTTTAATAACAGATGACGAAAGATGTGTGATTCACGCCGTGATGTCCACAAGTTTTGTAGGCGTTGTCAGAGATCATGGTCATTGGTTTAAATGTTCAAATGGCCACATTTATTGTCAAATCATGGCTAATCAGTCTATTAATTGTCCTCAATGTTATGACTAATTATTAGCAATCATATTTCTGGCGTAAGATCAACTTCAGAAATATTTGTTGCTTGAATTTTGTTTTAAAGTTGATTATTATAGTAAGGAAGAAAACTTATTCATTCAAATAATACAAGTGTTATTTTCAATATTATTCTATTTTATTTATTTTTTATGTTTAGTTCCAAACATTATTTTTATAAGAATTACTAAGTCATTGATAGGCGATGTAAATGATTTAATTGTATTGTATCTGTTGACTTTATCACTTTTAATTAATAAATTGGCAAATCCAAACATTTTCTTTGTTTAAATCATTTTTTATGTAAATTGTCTTCTATGGATTGTGAGCAACTTATTTATATTAGTTGATATTGGATATTTAGATGGGTAATGCTCAGTGGTGGCTATCCTATGGTTAAGGTGTTGCTMAAGCAACACCTTTATATGGGGGAGGGTGTCCATAGCACGGAGTTGTAGGGGTACAACTTAGTATATGTACATTGTGGCCAGTTTATTGCAAGCGCAATCTTGCACAACTGCATCATCATAGGTTAATACAATATTTTTATAGTTAATACGATATTAGGATTACATATTTTATCATTGATTATATTATATTTATATTAATGCACAATCAGTAATTATAGTCCACAGAAAACATCGTTTTCATATTCTAATTTCAGTATTTTGTGGTAGCGAACTAGTTTTCCAGTGTGGTACTAAAATAACAACTATTACAACTGTAAYGATAAATATAAAAGTAYCAAATGTATTWTATTATTTTGAGTTTGCTATGAATAAAAAATAATAATAAAATGTGTTTATGTATTATATTTTGGTGTTTAGTTGTTGAATAATATTATCAAAATATATAACTTATTAGTTATTTAATAGTATGTTATAAATGAATAATGATGTATGATGCATGCTTGACTTATATGTACATACATGTATATATCTATACAAATGATAAAAAACATGCTAAACTATAGGTCTACTTACATTTCAATTACTTTTTATCATTATTTATTAAATAGTGTTTCTTAAATACTGGCTTAGGAATTCGAAAGTTTATGTCAATTGGTGACTGCAAAAATCCGGTTATTGTCCCTAAGAGGGGGGGGTTGGTAATTCAAATTTAATGTTAAGCAACACCTGAAAAAGTTGGCACAGCCGCCACTGGACTAATGCTGGGTATATATGATATTATTGTTTCAATAAATTTAATTAAATCACCAGTTTTAAGGTCACATTTATCATTAAAATGATGTATAATAATATATGTTAATACCTATTTGAAAACCTACGATTACTAAAATACTAAAGTTCGAGACTATAATTTTTTTATATACCCGCAACCAGCGACAAAATTATTTTAAAAACCAATTTTCAATCAGAAATCRCCTCCCAATATTGAAGATAGAAGTATTTTTATTTTTATACTTTAAAACTMGGTGTACATACACATAGAATAATTTTTAAATCTCAATGTATTTGTAGATTCTGTCAGAATCTAAACAATTTTATATATCAAGTATAAAAGGAGTACTTACAACAAGGACGTATTAACCCAATGTCTTCGTTGCACTCGGAATCTAACGCGTATTAGCATTGATTATAAATATTAAAACTAAAATGCATTTTACCACGACCCTCGTGAATTTCAGAATTTTTTTAAAAGAAATTCTTTTCAACGCTGATTTTGAAACGGTTAGAATTTTTTTTGTGGAAACCAATATTTTGGGAGTTATAGCCATCAAAAGTTTGCGATTTTAAGTTTATGCGCATGCGTGCAATATTATTTCAATGCCGCGTGGAGTAGACTTGGGCGAATTGTTTACTCGGGTTTTTTTTTATCTCTGACTGTTTAWTCGTCGTCCCTCCTCTCCAGGTTTGCTATTTTAGGCCCTGGGGATTTGGAGGCCGAGCCCCCATCCAACTCGAGGTCCTCCGGAGTATGACGACCGGAGCCGTTAGGTGAAGRGAGCCAGTATAATATTATAACCTACGCCGAGGTTTTTTTTATCCTTCTCTTTTATTCGTATCATAWATCTATATTACGAAAAAACAGGAGAATACGTATATTATTTAGAAGACGGAGAACTTCTKTATAACCGCGAGGACTCTATAAAAAGTCAAATAAACAACGCCAAGTGCCAACCATAAAATAATTTAATTTTGTTTACTACAAGAAAGTTGGTACTCTATAAGCACATCATACTCTATTCGCATTAGTGTTTTGTTTGACCGAGTCGCGAAGAATACAATGTTATAGTCTTCGTGGTTCGAGTTCATCGAATTGCATCCCTGATTTTCACTTATAACCTCCGAAGATATTATTAATATTGTCGAGTCATTACTCATTACACATTATTAACATTATTTTTTATTCTTTGTTCGTTCTGCTTCTGTCTTTTGTGTAGTTTATTTTATTGTAAAGTCTTGAACACGTGAACGTGACGAACTACGACGGCTCTGAGTACCTACTAACTATAGTACCTAACTACACGAGTGAATTTCATCGGTTATTAATTATAATTAATAGCACATTAAACATGACGTATTAAGTAGTACACTATTGTAGTTTATTTTCCTGTCATGTATTTTTTTGAAGCGATATAACCGAGCGAGAACAAAATATTTCAATCGAAAAGTTGGTAATGTATTTATGATTATTTATGGTTACATGATTTTTGTGTATCGGTGGCTTATGCTAATTAATAATTATATTACAATCTGCAGAATATTGGTAGGTATAGGTACACGCCATAAAATAATTATATTAACAGATTTTTTATAGCTATAATAAATTATGAATGTTTAGAACTGAATAATATTATGAAGGTGTAATTTAATGGTTAGTGACTTGTTTGTGAAAGCGGAATAATATTTTTGGTGTGAAATTTTTGACAATGATGTTATATTTCAAAAAACGAATTAGGTAGTTAGGTATTTAAAATTTTTTTACATGTTTTTATGTTGTATATAGTTAGTACTGTTAGGCACTAAATAAGACTTAAATTCATATTGTGCGCTAATAGTCGACACTTCAGCAGCAGGCACAAACACTTGCGTGTGACTGTGTGACATACTATTATTTTAAATTGTTAGTGCGTCACAACCACTGAACCACGGACTAAGATCGAAGAAAGTTTTTTATTTAACTTAGGTACTGTCTTAGTCTGTGGCCACAACGGTTTCGTGTTTTRTTTAGGTGGTTTCATAGGCGTGCGCAGGCCTCTTTTTCAGGATAATATGCAGAAGGCTGACAATAGCGCGGCCTGAAAGTTATTTTAAGCTCGTAAAATTCTGATAATATGCATACACAATTCACAAATATTGAAAAACCTACTGTTTAATTAAAAAAATATTGTAATAAATACCATTACATAATACAAGAAGTATGTATTTCGCAAATACTTGGTAGTTGAGGTAACTGATAACTGGATGTTTCAATTTTCCAGAGTCGATGTCCATTGAACCTGAACCCACAGAACTTCAGGGTATGCAGCCGCATACCCTGCATACCCCCTGCGCACGCCTATGGGTGGTTTGTTTTTATCAAATACGTACAAAAGTCAAAACAAAATTCTATCGGGATAACGAAAATTGAAAAATGAGACGTCTAAAAATAATAATCATTACGATTTAAAACAAAAACATGCACGATGTGTGGACGTTATCTAGTCAGGAAATCACTCGTTTATAATCGATTATTAATTGTTATCTCCAATATCTCCTATAATATACCAAAACATCTCGATACAAAAAAAAGACAAACTACTACTAATTACAACGAAAATCTAGTATTGTTGCTTACACATTTAAGATTTTTTCGAATAAATTTAAGTAATTTTTATAGGTGTTTGCCTCGTGATGGATTTTCCGATGCAATAATTAAAATTTAAAAACGAATTTCAGAATTTATTGTAGATAATGAATGTGAATATTTTATATCCACGTGTTTAAATTGACTTAAGCAATAAGGGCACCATTTGGGGAGGGACAGGGTGTACACTCACGCACCCTGACATTTTTTTTTTCTACATGGCCCCTCGGCCTTCAGTTTACCCATAAAAAAAATAAATATATAATAGTATCTTTCAAAAGTTCAATATCCGTTTGCCATGTAGGGGGAGCTGATTATGTGTGTACTCAGATTTATTGGTATGTGTTTTTATATAGTGTTTCCAATAAGTTAAGAATACTAATGACAAGATTTTATCTTAGGCTTAAGTAAATCTACAGATGTATGGCTATACAAATTTGTATTTATATAATTATATTTTAAAACATACTTAATCATGCCAGTGGYGTGCAGATCCCTTTTTCCATGTGGGGCAAAGTTAATTTTTTTACACCCACCAACCACCCAAAACYAAAAGTTACAAATAATATAGGTATGTTTTATTAAGRACCTCTATACAGTTATACGAAAACACAATATTTATTAAATAAAAAAAAAAAACCCACACCCACCCGATTTTCAAGTGGGGCCTAAGCCCCATTTGTGTCATGTCTGCACGCCACTGATACATGCTACCTAAAAAATCAATGATTTTACGCTTATTTTTAAAAGAGAAGGAAAATTAGAAATTAATTTTCTTTTTAAATTTAATATGTCGACATAGTCTAAAATGAATACAAAAACCTATTGATTTATCACAAATACATAATTAATTTAAACAAAATATTAATAGTACTTATCTAACAATATTATTAAATATGCGATTAAGATGATTACTGCCAAAAAGTTAAAGCAACAATTTTAACCTTCGAGCTATTCAGTTGTCAACAAACGTGACTATTTTACTGATAAACCTAACCTATGATAGATAAAAATGCGTGTCTGTGTCTGACTAGTCTAGATTTTGATGTTGTATTTCTAACTCCTAAGATAGGTAGGTATTCAGTCTCCTTAAAGAAAAAAAACTCCTTTTTGCTTGATCAGTTAATACAGGTAGAACTGCAATAGGAATTAATACACATTTGGAAACATGCTGCTGTAATACGAGTATTTCGTTTATGTTTCAATAATTGAATTTAATGGTCTGAGTTTTATCTCATTTGTTTTCCACGACTGACAGACTGCTAAAATAGAAATTCAGTTCAATATAATATCTTTATACCCTGGTAAATCATCTTCATTAAATATAACAGCACTATTATTTCATCAAAATTCAACAATTTATACTAACATTTTGCCTATTAATAATTAGGTAATAATATTATTTTTCTAAACAATTTGGGATGGCTGCAGACCATCCCTCTTAGCATCTCCTAGTTATGCCACTGATGTATTTATACTTATATATTTCAGAATTATAATTAATATATAAATATATATGAATGAACAATAATTAAAAATCACTTTCAATGAAATAGCAATTATGTCATTATTATAATGAGTATAATTTTTTAACAAAAAGTAGAATAATAATTTATATTAAATTTATATAACTTTTATGTACCTAGTGGTACCTATATTAAATTATATAATCATGTTATATAAAACCATGTGACATAATAATTTACTAAGAAACTTAAGATTRAAAATATTATAGGTAAATATCAATATTGTAATGGGAATTTATAACAAACTTTGTAAATTATAAATGTTAATAGGTATCTCGGTATCATGGGTCCAAGAAATAAGAAGTCTAATAACAGACATCCAAACCAAAATAACCAAAGTTGTAAGAACAAAACTAGAGGTGTTAAAAAACCATCACAATTAGAAAATGCAGATAATAATTCATATGAAATTGAATCATCTAGAAAGCCAAATGGACTGGAAAAATCAAATATTTCTAATCAACAAAAACAACTAAAATCTTCAATAGAAGTATCATATAATAATAATAATAATGAAAATAATAGTAACCAAAATCAAATTATAACTAAGAATAATTTTAAATTCGGATACAAACGACTCGAAGAGTTATGTTGTAAAGATGCTTCTGAAATTGTATTTGTTATGTCTAATAAAATGAACGGATTCATGGATCTTTTTAAACAAAATAAAGAACCAGATTGGATTTATTTACTTATGAAAGTTTCAGCTARGATTTGTTCTACTGAATTAATACAAAACAAATATTTTTTACTAACAGAACTTATGTGCAATCAATTTTTTGGTCATCTAAAAACATATATATTGAACACACCRACTGAAAAAAACATTAAGCGATGCAGCAACATGAATACATTTTTTAAAGATTGTTTGGTTGTATTCAGATCTATAATTTTTTTATTTCCAAAAACAGCAGAAGAAAAATTAAAGGAAATAATAGTAAGTACTAATATTGCTCTAAATGGTATAAAAAGTTATTGTAATCACATTAAAATTGATGAAGCAACTATGATTGAAATGAATGATCTCTTACAAAAACTCAACGATACTAAGTTGACAAAGGAATTACAATTGAAAGAAAAATTAGTAATTGATAATATTGCCCAACTCATGACTCCACTAGAAAATTTTAGAGAGTTAACGTCATATCCAACTTCAATTGATCTAGAATATGGAGAACAATTTTTGCGACCTAATATCACCAAAGGAGCTTATCAGAATGTTGAACACTATTTAGATGTTCAATTTCGACTTTTACGTGAAGATTTTATTGCTCCATTACGAGAAGGAATACAATTTTATAAAAAAACAATAAATGATGATTGCCATCATCAACGTCGAAAAAAAATAAATAATATCCGCATTTACCGTGACATTGWATTTGAAAAAAAAGGTGAATTTGTTCGTGATAAATATGGTTACCTGGTAAACTTTGACAAAAAAAATAGATTAAGAATCAACTGGGAAATGGCAAAACGATTTATGTATGGTTCTTTATTACTATTTTCTGGAAATAATTTTAGAAGTTTTTTTATGGGTATTGTGTTGGAAAGAAAGATTGAACTTTTAACAAAAGGAAAATTAATTGTGGAATTAATAGACGATGCAAAACCAATATTTAATACACCTCTGACCATGGTAGAAAGTGAAGTATTTTTTGAACCATATAAATGTTCAATGGAAGTTCTCAAAAATATTAACTGTCATAATTTCCCTATGGAAAAGTATATAATATCAGCTTGTTCTAAAGTAGACTATCCATATTATTATATTGATAAGTTACCTGAAAACACCTACTATGCAATTGATGATTTGGTTGAATTTCAAGTACTGAGTCAAAATGATTGGCCTACTAAAGAACAGCTAGGACTTGATGAAATGCAATTTGGAGCATTTAGAGCAGCATTAACTCAAGAATTTACAGTTATCCAAGGGCCACCAGGTACTGGAAAAACATTCATTGGTTTGAAAATTATGAAAACAATTATAAGTAATTTATATAAGAAGCCATTTCTCACAAAACCTATTTTAGTAATATGTTACACAAATCATGCACTTGACCAATTTATGGAAGGCATATTGCGTTTTACAGACAAAGTTGTCAGAATTGGAGGTCAATCCAAGTCAAAAATAATTGAGGAATATAGTTTAAGGAATATAACTCGTAAGTACAGAAGATCCATAACTACTAATATAGGTCTTAGAAATGTTGAAGATAAAGTAAAAACAACTATGGTTAATATAAAATATTTTAAGAAATGTAGTGAAGTTGTATCATACAATGCTGGAATATTAGAGTTATCATTATTGAAAAATGGTATGCCTAAACAATATCATAATTTTTTTAAAACTACTTTAGACCTTCTATCTTGGTTATTTCAAGATTTTGATTATTTTAATGTAGACCCAATCGGGTTTATAACTGGAATCAGAAAGGAATTGATCAATAGGGTTTATCATTCAGAAAAATTGTTACAAATTAAAAAAGACTTTGATTATGATGATGATGATGTCAAGCAGTATGAATTAGATTACTTGGATCTAGAACATAATCATAAAGATATTGTTATTTATAGTATAACTTTAGATGACATAAAACATGCTTGCAAACAACTACTCGAAGAGAGTATTCAATTAGAAAATCTGTCAAATGTTGATGTAAACTACTTTAATCAATCTGAAGAAGCCAAATTCAACTTTGATGTGATGGAAAAAATACATGATTATTTTGTAAATATGTTGAGTTTGGCTGATGACAATATTGCACTTCCGCATTCAACAATAGATTTATACACACTTAATATGAAACTAAGATGGCATTTATATTTTCATTGGGTAAAAAAAACAAAAGAGATGTTTGATCCTAAAATAATAAGTTATGAACAAAAGTATACACAATTATATAAACAATATGCAGAACTTCGGGAATTAGAAAATGTGGAACTTTTAAAAAGGATGCATGTAATAGCATTAACTACTACTGGTGCTGCCAAACATAGAATAATGCTGGAAGGACTAGAATCCCCAATAGGTATGAATTAGAATTTTAATGTTTAACATTTATGTGAACTGTGTTTTTTATATTAGTTATCAGATCTTTTAATTGTGCGTATGGGGTAATTTTTTCATATTAATTTATTAATCATCATGAGTTTATTATTTTACCTACCTATAATAAATATTTATTTTTATTTAATTAAAAAATTAAAATATACTAATTAATACGTGATTACATAAATTGTGTCTACGTATTAAAAATGAAAAATGTTATATTTTTAAATTGTTTTGATAGTGTGATAATGACTAAGATTATTCAATTCTAAATTTTAAAACCACTATATTTAAAATAGGTAGACGTAAGTACTAAATAACCCCATACTCATCTTTTCATCGCCAATAAGTTGATAAATACATCATTTAAATAAATGTTATAGTTAACTTTACCTTTTAGTCGTTGTTGAAGAAGCTGCTGAAGTTTTGGAAGCACACATTGTTGCATCTTTAACAAGTCATTGTCAACATCTAATATTAATTGGTAGGTAATTATATATAACCAAATGCAAAAATATCAAACGTTCATTTTTTTTTCATTTTAAAGGTGACCACAAGCAACTACGTCCTAGTAATGCAGTTTATAAATTGGCAAAAGATTTTAATTTTGATATTTCGTTGTTTGAACGTATGGTCAATAATGATGTACCTTGTTACACGTTAGGTGAACAACATAGAATGCGCCCTGAAATAGCATCTCTTATAACTCCATCAATATATGATGAATTGAAGAACCATATTTCTGTTTACAATAGAGAACATATTCGTGGTGTTGCAAAAGATATATATTTTCTGAATCATAATATGTATGAAAACGAAGTATGTTATATCTATGACTATTTTATTTCAAGATGTATTTCAGTTAATAAAATTTGATGAACATTTAGGTTGAGGAAATTTCAAGCAAAAGTAATGAACATGAAGCTAGATTTTTAATTATGTTTGCCAGGCATTTAATATTACAAGGATATAAAACTGATCAAGTTACAATTTTAACAACTTACAGTGGTCAATTATTTTTAATTCGATCGGTAAGTTTATCTATTTTTAAATTATTATGATAATCAATCTTTTGTTTTATGTAC